TTAGTACATATATATATATATATATATATATATATATATATATTATGCGCATTTAATTAGAACAAGGATATATATATATATAGAAGCCAATGCCTGGTAGTCGTTAAAAAATCAAGATATTGCGCAGAAGCATTCATTGGGGTGTTTGAACTTGTGTATCATTATTGTAGAGTTGCGTTTCATTTGATTGAGTTCGCTCATCTTAACAAGAACGTCCGTACAGTATTTTCGAACGAGATGTGAATGGGTAAGACTTCTCCTGCTTAATTGGCCATGCCTGAGGATGTCGGCGATGCTGCGCATTGCTTTATCCGATCGCTTTGTACCGATCCTAATCCATATCCTGGTTATGCGCGCAGATTCGCACCACATACGTAAGGCACGCGTTCACTCTGCTGGACAACTCAGTGCTGCAACTGGTCAAGGGAGACGTGTCTCTGGAAGCCTTTGGCAATGACGACTCCATGGTAGGTGATTAGGACAATGCGAGGGGTCGGGTGGGTGTTTTAATTGTATGTGAAGCCGTTTGAACCACGCTCTTGTGTACGTCTGCTGTTCGTCTATTCGAACAGGGACTGTATTTGTACATCCACACATGTGTTCGTACTACGAATTGTCTGTGTCTCCCACACGCTGTACTCACACAGATACACACACACCCTCAACAATACAATCCCGGTCATGTTACACATTTATATATATTGTAATACCAATCCTCTGCACAGCCCGATCTATTCAGTGCCGGTACAGATGTCCTGCCCGACGAGCCCGAAACGTCCAATGTGATGAAAAAAAAGGCCCCAGACGCCACTATCTCATTCCAGAAATACAGTAAAATTGGCACCATGCTACTGCACCATGTGCACCAGCACGAAGAGAGGGAAGCCGCTAAGGCCCTGGATACACAAGGTTAGTTCGTAACTCGCATGGGTTTATTTTCACGATATTTTGGTTTGACACACAATCCCTCCTGTCGCCGTGTGCGATGGGCGTGACGATTTAAACCTAGGCCATATATTTAGGAGATGATTTAGGTTGTCAACATAAAGAGTAAGCAAGCAACTCACCCTTATTTGCGCACGTTGTCCAACCAATACACAGACGATAGCCCCACGGGCATCACCCGCCATGACCTGGTCTCGTGGTACTGCGAGGAACTGAGTGACGAGCTCGAGACGGAAGAAGACATCAACGCAGCCATCTCGCTGGTGTGGAAGATTGTCGACCGATTAATTAAGAAAGAGAAGTTCCTGGTCGAACGCAGTGTGCGCCAAATAGTGCAGGACGATGAAGGAGAGCAAGAAGAGGAAGTCAAGTACCTGTTCATCCACCCGAACATCTCCATCGACAATGTGGTGTTCGAGAGTGTCTAAGGGTGACGGTCTGAGATTTTTAGAATGAGCATAGTCGAAGGAGAAGGTGCGCATGACTCGGATCTTCCTGGAGATTGCATATGGGGGGGGCAGGTGCGATATAAAGCATTAGACACCCCTGGCCGTATCATAGAGTTGCTGGCAACTCGGGGATTGACGAAGGGTACTATCTGGTGTTATCAACAGATGCTACGATGATAAGTACATCTGCTACAAATATTTCCGTGAAATAGCTTAACCCTACTACACCGAATAGATGAAGCCTACGACACCTTAGCTTATCACCACTGATTCGTGTGTAGTGTGAAGTACGATAGCATGATCGAGTGTGTGGGCTCATACGTGAGGATTCAGTAAGAGCTCTGTACGGAATGGTCCCGTTTAACGTTCCACTACATATCCAAAAGCCTACTATCAGTATGACCAAGGCATCCCGCACAAGGGCCAGGACAGGGCACCCATAGGCCAGGACAGGACACCCATAGCGTACATCAGCAATATAACTGGCAAGACACAGCCGGCCAGAAATCTGAACAAGATTCGAATTAAAGATAGATAATTGATGATTGTCTAAGCTAGGTCAGTCTGGACATTCTGGCCAATATGGTCACAACTAAGTGATGCTAAAACATAGAAGGTAAATATATGTGTTGCATCTTTAGATATTTTTTACAATAGGACTCATGGTTGCCTTATAAATGTAGTAGGTATGACAAGGTTTCATCTGCAAACTACAAATCGTATGAGCTTCATCTTTGCTCTCTTTATTGTTCACTAGCGGTGTCGGCAATAAAATAACCGTTTGAGGTTCCAGTGTGGGCCCGCCTATAAATAAAAAGAACATCGCATACTCTGTAGACCACGGCATTACTATATCAGATTGGTCGGATATGAAAGATAAATAGTTGAGCAAAAGACGGATATATAGGTTTCAAATATATATTATTTTTAGCCATGGTGCGATCGATAAAGTACGGATATCACCCCCAAGAGTTTACAACCTTCTCTAGATGAGAAGGCAAAGTTAGGCTGAACAGCTCCCTCGAAGAGACAGGGCTGTCATTCAAATCTCAAGAACGACAGACCTCCGAGTCAGATAAAAACGCTTATACGCGAGAGGATCTATTATTGTATATAAAAGAGTTCCAGCAGAGCAGAGTCTACTGAGTATTTACACATCTACTGAGTAGCTACACACATCAGTAATAATACGGTTCTTTGTTTCAATGTTTTTGAGACCTGAATGATATGTAAGTCCCCCTTTCCACATGTGCGAGAGAGAATTAAATTCGGCATTTGGCAATCCTTCACTGCACTGAATGCAGTGATTCTACTGCAGTGACTGCACTGCGTAAATATGTCTGCTGTACATCCCCCATTATACAAATATGTATAAATACATTTATTTATTTATGTATTTATTTTTACTTGCAGTATGATACAGTAACAGTGTGTATGGTACTTTTTGTAATAAATTTTTATTTTTAAAAAGAACACATAATTTTCTGTTGAAATAAATGAGTAACAATGGCATGGCAACGTACTCGACAGCCAGGTCCCATCACTCATACTCATCTCAGAGATTTTCATACTCGCAGGTATGCAGGCTATAGAATCATGAAAAAATACATGAATGAATGACTGAATCAGAAGCTTAGCATATCAACGTGTACTGTGTGTCCAGGACACGTTCGATAATCACCACATCATAGTAACTATTATCTGATCTTCAATATGGGTGGTAAAGCAAGAGTGAGTACCCGATGGGTGTTAAAACTCTGTGTGTTCATCGTATTTATCGCGGTTGGGATGTGGAGTTTCAATCGAATTACGGGTCGCTCGCACAAATACGCGCAGAGCTCACATACAGATGAAGAAGGCGATAAAAATGAAAATTTGGGTTTCTTGAACTATTGGAACAAAGCTAGGCAATATGTCCAGGATAGCAATAGCGCAGAGGAGAACGCAGTGGCCGGAGTTGCTGGATTCGCTAACGAAGCCGTACCTAATGATGACTCAGGTATCCTTCGATATATACATATATGTATGTATACATATATAT